TCGTTCTTTCATCTGTAAGCTTGCTTGTGCTAATTATGGAGAAATATCAAATTTTAGAAAATCATTTAGGTACTTCTTCTTTGGCTTATCCTTTGGTTGCATCCATTTCAGGTACTGAAAAAATGACCGACACTTTTACTATGTAGTCAGAGAAGGCATTATGTTGAGAATTATGCGTTGAGTGGAGTCAACGGAAGCCAACGGCTGCAGCTCCGCTCTTTCTTGGTTTCTTTCCGATCCGCGAACTTACAACCTCCAGAGTGCTGAGCCTCCATTAGCCATGTTTCCTAAATCGCCAAATGAAAAGATTACGCCATATATGCTATGTCCGTAGCTATTATCCGACACTCCTCCTCAATTTCTATGCACAGTAAATTGTGCATCAGATTCTGTAGTCATTCGTTTCAACTTTCAAGTGAAGAGGTATCATTTGCCATTACTAATGCATTTCATAACGATAACTCAACGTTAAGTTAAGGTAGTGATACATGTCTGGTATATATATATATATTCTCTAATACCATTTCCTTTTTTTTTTTTTTTTTTAAAGATGCAAGGAAGCCTTCATCAAGCTGTACAATGAAGAAAGGAGAAAGGAGAGGGCTCAAGAGTATTTAAGTACGATGATGATGTTGTGAAGACGTGATTTTAGTAAAGTGTTACTAGCATGAATGAGCTAATTACCGAGGATGTTGTGATAGTAGATCTTGAATGTTTAAACTCCCAATTGCGAGTTGCATAATTAGCTACTGACTAAATTGTGGTTATGAAGCTATTAAATCTCTATTTTGTAAACATAATCCTTAAGCAGTTTATGTTTCTGATCAAAACTCAGGTTCAAACTGGTAACTACTTCCACAACTGAAGCTACCATTCATCCTCAGTGCTCCAGAAGAAACAAACATCGGAACCACCTATCTTCCCATAAGAAAAGGCATGATTGCATAGCACTTTTTCAAAAGAACCGGAGGGAAAAGAAGGAGCAAGAGAGATCAACAATTTGAGCATGATGACATTCCCGTTCTAGTGATAGAATTGGGGTACGTTACATGTAATCTCTTGTACTTTTGTCTAATGCCACGTTATCCCTAAGGTTTCAAAATAATTATAATCCTCCTGTGAATTTATATAGAGTGAAAAATAGGTAGAATACACGATCGGTTATGTCAATTGAACTAGATGAGCTAAAAACATGCGCACAACAGAATCATAATAGCCAGTTAACTCCCTATAATTTGCACGAATATCCACCTAATTTCATTATGATTTTTGCACTTATCCACATAATCCCCTACGATTTTATTAATTATACAAGGCAATCAAGTCATTATTTAAGTAAGGGCAATATAGGTATTTTAGTTAACAATATTACATGAAACTATTTTTGAATCAAGTTTCCGTTTTACTAAAACTATAAGAGGGTTAGGTGCAAATGGCAGAGCCATGTGAAAGCAAGTAGGGTCAACTGACCCCACTTAACTTTGGATTAGATTTAGAAAATTTTAAAATTGCATCTTATTTGATCCTAGTAAATTTTAACAAATTATCTTTTCTATACACATTGACCCCCAAACAATTGAAAATGTATAATTGTTACCATCACAAGAATTTTGAATTTATTCAAGTTATTTATGGAAGTTATTACAAGAATAAATTCTTCCAAAGTTTCCAAAAATAAGAGATGAGTTTTCTTGAGTGGAGTGGGAAAATCAATTCTTTCAAACTTCAAAGTTTCCAAAAACAATAATTTTTCAAATGGATGCTAAATTTTTTATGTATAATACAAAATTTAATCTGCAGGTATATTATTTCTAGTGTCTATTTAATCTGCTATTAGGACGGTAATACAAATCAAATCATGATGGATGATTTCCAACAATCCGTTAATGAAACTTGCTTCTATTAAAAAAATAATATGTATATAATGGTAGTAGTTTTTATTTTTTTATTCTAATTTTTTTCTTTATAAAAGCTTTAATGCACTGCCAAAAAATTTTGGATTTTCTTAAAAAAAATTTATATTTTTCATGAACATATTTTTCAATTATCATTTTACCTTAAATACATTAAATCAATGTAGTACTTTTCTTACAAAAATTTCAAAAAAACTAGCAATCAAAATGGACTCTAAGGTTTAGAGTATTAAAATTTGACCCCACTTACCTCATTTGACCCCACTTACCACGAGGTCTTGACTCTAGCCCTGGTTAAGTGGATATTTTGAAATGTTAAGAAGGTTATGTGGTAATGAGCCAAACTGTAAGGTGGTTTTGTGTAATTTCACGTAAAAATTATATGTACGAGAATTTATTGTGTACGAGAACATGTGTATTTCTCTTAAAGTTTTAAACACAAATTAAGCCGTATTTAATGTATTAAGTAGTAAAATATTTCTGCTGTAGTCAAGAAATGTCAGAGAGAGAGAGAGAAAGTAGCATCAGTATCGCTTTTCGACTCTATTTTCAAACATATTTCATGTTGCGTCGGTGTTTTAATAAATAATAACAAAAAATAAAAAAGAGAGAGAGAGGGAGAGAGAGTAGCATCAGTATTCAAGCTTGAAAGTCTTCCATATATAATTTGGTGCAGACAGAACCTACCATTTCTTCCCAAAACCAAACATTAAATATTACAAGCATGAAATTCCGCCGCCCTCGTTCCCAGATCTACTTGCTCCTTCCTCGGACATGCTAAAAGTTATCAGTTGAAAAAGGATATCCCACAATGGAGTCTAGCGCATCATATTTATATGCAAAGTGGCATCTGCTGAAGTCAGACGAAAATCCCACAAAGAGGCCATGTCCATCCATTGGTTAAGCTGTACCAAACTTAGGGAGCATATTCTAAAAAGAGATTAGTCTTACTGGCCATGTCCATGATGATCACGCCATGTTTAAACTTTTACAAGCTTAAAGCCCTCGCGATTCAACTGGAGATGGGTTCTGGTTATGTTTTTATTATAAATTATAAGCCGTTAATGCGACTATGGGATGAAGCTAAGACAAGGCCAATTATCAATTATGTTGCCTAGAAACCATTTCCAACTGGAGAGCACCTATACCACAGCTAAGATGACCGTTTCTTGGCAGTCAAATCACTCAGCCGCCATAATCGACATATCCAATTTGCCATTGCTCGAAATGGACAGTGCTTGGACAAGTCCCTGGCGTCTAGAGTGGGGATAAGCTCGTGGCATGAATAGACACATTTTTGTGTTTACGGGTCCATCCCTATGAATTTTTTGGGAGAGGGGCAGTGCATTGGATATGGTTGGGGTCTAATTATTGTACACTTTTAATATTAGTTGATGTACACTTATATCACATTATTATTGCATTCAAGGTAAAATTGGTGAATATGAATAAAATATTTGACATATATTCGGTAAAATATTGTGATATATTTATACACTAAAAATTTAAATATGTACAACGATTGAATGGAATCGCACAAGACACACAATTTGTACTTCAGCTCTTGTACGAACCTTTTCAAGGCTAGAGAGGCCTTCACGGTGCCATTTGTTGGGGATAATACAAGAGAAAGTGACAAAAAGTTACAAAACAAATGATGCAAAAAGATTTCAAATTGTGATTCGAATCACTTTGTTCGAATCAATTTCCTTTAGACTTTATTTGTCCAGAAATCAGTGTACAAAGAACTTGAACAAATAATCTTTAGAATAATTTGAAAGGTATTTGTCTTTAACTCTTACATAAAGCTAAACAAACCTACTTAAATTATGTTGTGCTTTTGCAAAGAATTCCAATAATAGGAAAATGATATTTTTCAACAAATCATCACTGATAGACCTCTATAGAATTAAGATTGAGAATGATCAAGAGCTGCAATCTTTCTCCACTAATTGTGACTTTTCTTTGAATTGTGTTGGTCAAAAGATTCCTCAACACTAATGCAAGTTTTCAGATAGTTTTTTAATGTTGAAACATCATTTGAATGGCAATTAACTATCAAAAACATGAAAACGTATCAAACAATAAACTTGAACAACTTCTAACCGTTGCACGAATCAAACAATGATGGACCTATATCGGGTTCGAAGTCGGAACCAGACATACAAATGACCAAATTTTGAAAATTCTCCAACATCGTTCCCCTTCCAGAGGCATTGCATGAATTGGTGGCTTACTTGTCAACTTGAATTCTCCACAGAATTCTTTAACAACTAGATAGTGCAACACTGACCGCAAATGCGTGCATCACACGTGTACTTCCCTCAATCATTTCAAAATAGGCAGTAGAAATACCTGGTTAATTAGTAGCAATATTAACTAAGGCGCTCACTATCAAGTGCCAACCCTTCCTATGCCAGTCGGAGTAATGTGCTCTTCACTTGATCCACCGAAACGGTTACATTTGTTTTTCTAATTCTGTTCTTTCTGCCAATTAATCCATTCGAGTCTTCCTAGTTTTTCTCACCCTTGAATTTTTAATGTCCAATCAAACCTTTGTTAAGCGTTAGTTGTCATCTCTATATGATGCAATCACGAAATGATCGTCTAAGCTTTGAAATTGTCAAACAAAAAGATCCCTTGTATAGAAACACAAAAAAAAACACAAACTAGAAAGATGCATCGATATTAACCAAAACCAGGCATCTAGCTTTAGCAGAGATTAGGAGTAAACTAATTAATTGATGGTGATGTTCTTGTCAACAGTTTTTTGAGTAAGCAACTGACTTCAGCTGCTGATATTATGCAAACGTCAATTCCATCTATCGCTGGACCTGTCCATGTTTAATTTAACGACAACAACGAAACGAAGACCACAAGCAGTAGGGACAGAAGTTAATCATGCAAGCGACTTCTGTTGATAAATAAATGAAATGCAAAAATAGCATAAGGCTGGGTCTCGATCCGGGGGGCCATGCCCAGCAAGCCTAGTTTTACACGGTCTTAAAGTTATATTTTTCAGCAGTGAACTCTCTATAAATAATGTACTGAGTAGGGACTTGGCCACATGCTCTCGCGGATGGAACAAAGAAGAAAAGAAGCATTGAGAGGTTCCTCACGCAGGAGAGATGGCGCCCATGACTATTCCGGTTTCTAGAGTCTGGAGATAGGGAGGGTCATTGGCTGCCATCTCTCTGCGTCAGGAACCTTATATCTTTGCAGCCATGTCCCTTTTATGTTTACTTTTCCAATTTCTACAAGAAATTTATACTAGTTGTTTTCGTTCACAGGGTTCATGTTGTGCAGATTTTGTGGACTAGGAAATGGTCAAAAACGGCGGTCCCTATGGTCATATCTTGTTTCCCTCATCTTCTTACGGCTTGAATTTACTATATCCATAATTTTCCTTCACGAATTGCATCTGACCCATCAGCCCCAACATTCCTGCAGTTTTGTTCTTTGATCCATGTGGCTGCCTGTGCCAGAAGTTTACCATTATCAAGTTTACATGTTCACACTTCGGTAATGTTTCTTTTCACCTTATGCTTTGGATGCTTCCATTTTAGCTACTGAACAAATCACCGACACTTTTAGTGTATGTAGTAAGAGAAGACATCCGTTCTGCGGATTCCTGAAACTTAAAAGGTACCTGCATAATCTAACCGGGACTCCATTTTGGCTTTCTCATGCATATCACTATGCTGAGAACTATTTTGTTCAGTAGAGTCAACGTCAAACCAATGGCTGTAGCTCTTTCTTGTTTTCTTTCCGCAACTCGCAAGCCTACAGATCAATGCTCATCCCTCGCGAGCCAACATCTCTTAAATTACCAAAAGAGAAAAGACAAGCTACAGTATATACTAGTACCGACACTCCTCCCCACTTTGATGCGGGGCAGGTACAAGCGTGCCTGAAATGTGTAATTTTTTTTGGAACGATATGTAAATTTCTTTTACCTCTTCATAATAGAAGAGGTGTGCATGTGAGTTACATATGTAATAATTATGCTTTTATTGTTAAGTTTTATAAGTAGTTCACGTAAAATTATACCTTATTCAAAAAATTATTATTCTGAATGATTGTTACTGACAAGCATCCAAACCCGTATGGCCGTATCCCTCCCCACTTTGCCTGCACAGTAAATTATTTGATTGTAGTAATTCGTATTACTTGATCAGGTATATGCATTTGCCATTACTCTTAAGCTATATTTGCAAAACACTCAGCTGTATTCACACACGTGTGGCCTTATTAATCACTTCTCTCTTAAAGTAATTTTCTACCATATGATCTCTTTCTTGGATACAAGAATGATGTTGAGAAGATGTACGTGTTCTCTCTTAAAAATTGTAGTGCCTATTTTTTGTTCTGTCTGCAACTTTGCATGACTAGCTACTGATTCCATTAAAGTTGCGCTTATGATGCTGCTAAATCTCAATTTGTGAACGTAATCCTTGAAACAAAGGTATCGTTTTATGTTTCTGGAAACTCAAAACCCAAGTTTAAACTGTTGACTGCTGGGTTCAAATCCTCGCTCGGTCGCACGTTAATTATCGGTCCGAAAGACCAATCCACCAACACCTTAGCAACACAACAAATCTTTAGTGGTCCGCTTTCAAAAGCAATAACTCAATTATTCTGCTGCAGTTACTACCGCCATCACCACCGAAGAACCATCTTCATCAAAAACTAGAACCATAAAATTACTCATTCAGGTTTAGTTAATGGATTGGGTTTGGGCATCCATTATTGCTTCCAAGCCGTAGAGTCCGAATTAAAGTAAACGTATAATGTTCAATACTTACAATTACAGATTGATTTGGAGTTTTGGTTCAGAAAATTTTGAAAATATTTCTGGGCATCCATTTGCTAAAATCTTTCTAAATAGGAATTGTTTGAGGATGGTGACTTTTTTTTTTTGTCTGCAACGATAGATGTTATATAAGCCTAATCTAGGGAAAAGGAATAAGAGGAGATGGTCAACTAAGATCAGTCACATATTATAATAAATTTGAGAGAGACGGGGTTGAACTCTGACCTCCGGCACCACCAAGGCGGCGGTGGTAACTGGCAAGTGAAAAAGGTGATGAAAGAAGTTGACTTGGACTTGGGTAGAGAACAGACAACAGGAATTCCAAAAAAAAAAAAAAAAATTCTGTGGGGTGTTTTAAATGAGTGCAACGTGTCTTCCTTTAATTTGTGCGACTGAGGATCTGGTACCAATGACGGCTTCGCCAATTAATGCCACCGTATCAGTGTCTCCCCAAGGTACAGCCATTGGAACAGGTATTATTTGTACTTACTGCAAAATAAGGAAAGGAGGCAAAACATGGGGAAAGAAACCTTTTTACGAACAATACTCGGCTTCCCCAATATAATACTCGGCATTATATTCGCGTTTTCTGAATAATACCTAAAGCCTTTTTACGAAAGAAACTTGGTAGATGGGGGCCTCCTATCATTTGAGATTAATGGGCAGATAATTGGATCATCTACGGTATTTTGCGATAATAGGCGCATTTCTGAAGTATGGGTGATAATTTTCGATCCGAAAACATGACACGAATAGGCTCCAAACGAATCGAGCAAGTCGAGCTCGTTATTAATCGAGCTCGAGTCGAGCTCGAGCTCAGAATATTAAGCTCGTTAGCTCGCGAGCCGGCTCGCGAGCTTGGGTATATATATATATATTTTTTATTTTTATTTTTGTTTAATAATAAAATTACGTATATTATATATATTTTTTTTTTATTTTTTATTTTTATAGTAAAATTACGTATATATCCTTAATATTTTATTATTTATTAAGAAAAAATATTATTTTATTTATTTTTTTTTAAATAAAATAATTATTTTTTATTTTTTTTCGAACTCGAGCTCGAGCTCGAGCTCGGCTCGACTTGATTCGAGTCGAGCTCGAGCTCGAAATTTGCCGGCTCGTCGAGCTCGAGCTCGAGCTCGAGCTTGGTAAAATTTAGTCGAGACTCGGCTCGATTAGCTCAAAGCTCGACTCGACTCGGCTCGTTTGCAGCCCTAGACACGAATCTAACACGAAATTAATGGATTTGGTTTGAGATTTCACGAGTTCGGATCAGAGTCGAATCGAACTCGATGAACCCGAAAAAAGCATGTCAAATTCAGGTCAACCTGATAACCCGCTTATGAATTAAAAATAATTTAATAAATATAAAATATTTTATCTAACTAAACTAAGTTATTCTTTTTTTCCCAAAGGCATTAACCACTTAATCCTAAATAAATTTATTTAACTTGTGTGAAGTTTGAATTATTATGTTTGGACAAATAATATTTTACATTATTTTCTATTTTTATAGTGTCTTAATTTATTTTCAATCTGATTTGGGATAAAATACTTTTAGAGTGTTTTAATTTATTTCAAATTTGATTTGAAATTATTTTATCGAGATTTTTATTACTTGATTATTTAATTAGTCTTGGGCGAAATTGGTTCTGTTAGAAACTAAAGTGGTAAATTAGTAAATTAAAATTATATTTCAAGTCATTCGGGTTCATGTCAAATATCCTAACCCATTTCGAATTGACGGGTCATGTTCGAGTTAGCAAGTTATCTATTATACCCGAATTTCAAACCGACTCATCAAACCCGTTTCTGACCCGATTGTCACCCCTCTTCCGAAGGGCTACTGTTGAAAGAAACGAATACGGACGAATGGAATTGAGATCATAGCTTTTTTTTTCTGTCAAGAGATAGACAATTAATTAGATTAGAAACACTCAGGAGTTAACGGCTAAATGACCCAGTTAAGAGTGATCTAAGGGGGATCCACAAAAAACCTACATCCAGCGAATTGGTGGAATTGAGATCATAGCACCCTCCGGGATTACTTGTTTACCTGACATGTTCAGCCAACCAATTGTTTTCTCGGGTTTGGGGCAGGATTGAGATTTACCACAGTTTTGCTACAAACTGTCGTTGCACGAATGCACTCACATAAATTTGCTGTACGAGTAAATTTTACTCCGACTCGTGCCCACTCATGTCCACCAATTCAACATGTGAGTACAAGCATGACTGTAACCGTACAAGTGTTAAGTTAACCATCCCTGCTTCAATCACTGGTTTCTTGACACTCCATGCGCAGTGCTCGACTTCTGCGCACCGAGTTGCTTTTGCGGATGTTCCCGCCTTTTCGCTGTAAGCCCAAGGAAGGCTTAGACAATAAATTTGAAGATTAATAGTCCCGTACGTCTATTTTATTGTACTCATGAAAACTGGCAGTACCACTTGTATGAAAATCTCAAAGTAACCAACAAGTAAAAGCTTGAAAACTTGTTATTCCGCAACAAATAACTAGAACACAGAACTAGAAAAACCAATGAGCAGCAAATTACTGTTTGATGGTCCAAAATAAAATGGACATCAGGGAAAAAGAAAAAAATCCAGCTTAATCTGTAGTTTTGAAGTTGCGCAGCAAAATGACAAAAAGCTGCCAAGGACTACATATTAAGCCACCCTAATACACAGGAACTCTGATTTATAAAGATATTGTTCACTTAAGATGCTGCAAATCCTCATGCCAAGCGTAAAGTTGAGCAACATTTGTATTTCAGGCACCACAGTGGCTGATTACCATGAGCCCTCAGCACCAACTGTTGGATTCTTAAAAGCAGCAAGATTCCAGGATGTCTTCAATGCATACGGCTGAGAAATTGTCACACCTTCCTCAGTGATATTTGCTATCTGCAAAATCAACTCATGTGAATACAACATCTTTCAATCAAGGAAAGTAATGTGTGTCTAAAACACAAAACTGGAAGCAGCAGCGCAAAACCAGTTCAGATGCAACAACACATCCCCAGGAAGAAGAAAAGTCTAAGGTAAGGAGAGAGCACAACTTTAGCATGAGATAAAAATATAACTGAACCATTAGTTCTCTGAGAAGCTGTGAAAGACTAAAGAGGGAGTCAAGGGGATGAAATGTTGGCAATACATGACTGAAAATTAAGCCTTAAAAAAAAAAAAAAAAAAACTGGTTGCACTTTTACTACAGAGCTTAGCAACTTTAATCCACAACTAAATTCGAAATTGCAATGCTGAACATTTTTTAACACGTGACACATCAGTGTCCTTTTATTTAAGCAAAGTTCCTCCTTTGAGTTGGATTTAGTATGACTATAATTAAGGAAACAAAAACCACAAAGGCCCTGCTAGATGGAATTTTGCATTACTGGACACCTTGCTCAACATAGGACTCATCAAATGTCCTTTCACCACAGATGAAGTCACTCCTCGCACATGAGTATCCTTTCCTAATTACACAACCCTACTGAACCCACCACCCTGTGGTTCACAGGACCAATCTATGATTCTACATGCTCCCATGGTTTTTTGCTCAAGACTCTTTGACTGCTCGTGGATCACACGGGATAGAAACCACAGTAAAAATTGGTTGCCTAGATGACTATCTAGTAAAACAACCTTTCCCAACCATTACTACCTTGAGAAGTTCTTTATCGACACCCTGTCCCATCCCTTTTTTCCAACTCTATCCCCTTTTGTTGTTCCCATAGAACTGGAAATGCTGACTCGAATCACTGACACTCAGCATAATATTCTTAGTAGTATTGAAGAAAATCCAAATTTATCACCAACAATTCATGAGGTTATTTGACCATTAGAAATCAGTATTTGTGAATAAGTTGAATATGTATCCAATGGTATACAGAGTCAAGAGCTTAAGCTTATTTCAACCTATTCACCTCCTATGGTACTAAAGCAGGTGTTGGAAAAGGAAAAACTATGTCTCAGTAAGAATACACCTAAAGGGTAGCCATTTCAGTGAAAATAAGTCAGGTGCCATGTCAACATTTAAATGGCCAGACAATGCTTGATTTTTTACATTCCAAAATTTCAATTCCTTTTTATTTCACCTCACCAAATACCCAAGTATGCAAAAGCCACAAGCAAGACATCTCAAGCTCAGCCATATGAGTGTAAATTACCAAACAGACAGCAGGACCCGAATTATACATTAAACTTGCCTGGAGCTTGTTCACTGCTGATCTATCGCGATAGAGAAGCACACGCATGCATTTCTCCAGTAGCTTAACACCATCTTCAAAACTCAAGTTTTCATGCCATTCATCCCGGAGAATAGGTCGTGCCAGGTGATTCCCAAACCCAGTTGCAACATGATTGTCCTCGTAATGCACACCAATCATATTAACCTGGGGAAAAAAAAGTCACGTGCATCAACAAAAAGTAGATACTATGCAGTCATACATACATAGCAATCTATGTATCCAAAATAATACTGAAAGAGGTTTACTGTTCCAAGATACTTCTGCCCATTCTTCACTCCACCAAGCACAAGAGAATTCCACAACGGATTAAACTGGTTACGGCGATTGTACATCACTCGGGTTAAATAGTTATGAACCTCTTTAGGGCCCAAGGAATTACCGTTGTCCCACAGGTTATCATATAACCTGCATCCACAAAGTATAGATAATAGCTATTTTCACCACAAATTGTATCTCCATCATCAGCAGTCAAAATCCCAAACACACCCTAAATTGAAGGAACATGAATACAGAACATAAAACCCATTCATTGCGCCCTAAGTACAGTAGCACCCATCCAGGATAAGAAAAACTTACATGAGTTCATCAAGGTAACGTAATATCTCCTGGAAATCACTAAGTTCTCCACTTGCGCCAATAAGCGAATGTTTTCCTACTGGTTTCATTCTCTCAACACCCTTATACCGAAGGGTTGAGCCATAGGAACCTGAAAGAAAGACATAATTACACAAGAAGACTGATATAATTAGTATGTTTTATACTCATGAATTTGTCTTTATCCCAAGCAGACCAACAGCCTTCTGATGTCCTCATTGAAAAACTTGAACCCCAAGAACTCTAGTAGTTCTTAACATGATGGTAATTTAAGAATGCAATATGGATCTATATCTGTACACATCAACCTCAGATTCTCTGGACCGGCTCACTCAAGATTAGGCAATTATAATTCCCAATGAGGGCAGAGAAAGCGATATAGCTTAGCAGCAATGTGTCGTCTCTTCACAGTTATAACCTCACCAGTTCAAGCCTTATAATCTAATTCCCATAGAAGCCTGCCACAGTTCAATGAGACTGAGATTGGAGGCTTGTATAATTGATGGGATATAATTTAACTTGGTCATGCCGACTGACATGAGCTTAACTCAGACAAATATCCTCCCAACCCCAAAAGTAAGTAAATAAACAACAGGGCATAAACTCAGTTATGAGTTGCAGCAAGTCAATACATGGATGGAGAGAAGGAGATCTGACCTCCCATATCAGCAGCCATAAGAATGCCATCCTTGTATTTAATCCCAACCACAGACGTCCCCGTCACATACGGGTACCTATAACAAAACCACTTTAATCAAACATATACATATGAATCCCACCCAAAAAAAAAAAACTATACTTAAAAAACCCCACACATTGATCATGCATGTAATAAACGTAAAGGTAACAATAGATAGTTTTTTCAACTTCCTTTTCCCGACTCTGCTTTAACCCAACCCTAGTCTCACAATTTTTAAAAAATCAACTGATAAAAAAACAAGCTAAACTGATCTCCACTTAAAAATTAAACATGAAATTAGTAATTAAGTACTAAATGAGAACGAGGGAGAAAACACTACAAAGTTCGCTGCGAATCGGCTTCAGAGATTACTGAGCTATTCTTAGAAGTAGCCGGAACTTCAGAGTCCAACATCTGTAGAAATTTAAAAATCCAAAAAAATTAAATTAAAAAAAAAAGTACTGAACTTCAGAGTCCTATTCTTAAATTAAATGAGAACGAGGGAGAAAACACTACAAAGTTCGCTGCGAATCGGCTTCAGAGATAACTGAGCTATTCTTAGTAGCAGCCGGAACTTCAGAGTCCAACATCTGTAGAAATTTAAAAATCCAAAAAATTAAATTAAATTAAAAAAAAAAGTACTGAACTGGCTTCTGCTTATTTTCTATTGATAATTGAAATTGCTTACGTTCAGTTTTTGAATTATTAATCGATGCAGAAATTGGGAAGACGGGTCCACAATTTGGGCGGTGGTGTCAGGTGTGTCATTTGAGAAGCTGTCTTGTTTAACGTTTCCCCTCCCTTGAAGAAAACATCGGTGACGTGTCGGGTTTCTATAAGAGCGGTTAGTTCCCGATCCAATTTTGAAACTGATACAAATATTGAGGCAAATAATAAGAGAAGCAAGGGACAAAATGTTTATTTCTTTGTAAAACTGACATTCCTCGTAACATGAAATTAATCTATTTATAGAGTTGAAACCAACTCCATTAACTATCCCACTAACTCCATTAGCTACACTAATTCCACTAGTTGCTCTACTAATTATTTCACTAACTCCACTAATTCTACTAATTTCATTAATTAATTAATAACGGTAAATATTTCTAACAATTCCTCCCTTAAACTGAAAGTTTCTCAAACATTCAGTTTAATAGGACTTATCAACTGCACAGACTCCAAGTAACTTCCTTAATTTCTGAAACGTGAATAACTTCAATGGCTTGGTCATTATGTCTGCAATCTGATCTTCACTTTTGCAGTAGAGAAAATCAATTATTCCATCCCTTGTGAGCTCCCTTAGAAAGTGAAACCTAACGTCTATGTGCTTGGTTCTTCCATGTACAACTGGATTTTTAGAGAGCTTGATGGCAGAACTGTTGTCACAATAAATTGTAGTAGCTCCTTCTTGCTGAAAATACAACTCTTCAAGAATATTCCTTAACCAAATTAGGCACAGGCGGTTGCAGCTACATACTCTGCTTCAGTTGTTGATAACGTAACAATTGGTTGCTTTTTTGAACACCATGAAATAGCTGCTGAACCCATCATGAACACATATCCAGACGTACTCTTTCTATCATCAGAATCGCCTACATAGTCACTGTCAGTAAAACCAAACAAATCTGATTTTCCACCATTCTTGTAAAATAATCCATACTCAATGGTTCCCTGCAAGTATCGAAGAATCCTCTTGGCAGCTAGAAGATGTGTCTCCCTTGGACTTTCCATGTATCTACTAATAAGACTTACAGCATGTATAATATCAGGCCTAGTTGCTGTCAAATACATCAAACTTCCCACAATTTGCTTGTAAAGGGTGCTATCAACCATCTTTCCTCCTGGTTCTTTGATGAGTTTTAAATCCATTTCAACTGGCGTACTAACAGAATTACAATTCGACATTTGAAACCTGTTCAGAATTTCTTGCACATATTTTCTTTGAGAGACAAAAATTCCATCAGCAGATTGCACCACTTCAATACCCAAAAAATAATGCATCTTTCCAAGATCAGACATATCAAATTCAGTCATCATAGATTTCTTGAGTTTCTCAAACATGGCACTATCATTCCCAGTAAAAATAAGATCATCAACATATAAGCAAACAATCAGCAATTTACCTCCATCTCCAATCTTTATAAAAAGTGTATGCTCATATGGACATTTCTTAAATCCTTTCTTAAAAAAATAAGCATCTATACGACTATACCAAGCACGTGGGCCTTGTTTTAACCCGTATAATGCTTTCTTGAGTTTGTATACCTTATGTTCACTTCCAACCTTCACATAACCAGGAGGTTGATCAATAAATACCTGTTCCTGTAAATCACCATGTAAAAATGCTGATTTCACATCCAATTGGAAGATAGGCCATGAATTTTGAGCTGCCAATGCTATCACCATCCTAATCGTGTCATGCCTTGCGACTGGAGCAAAGATTTCTCCATAATCCACCCCAAACTCTTGTATATAGTCTTTAACTACCAGACGTGCCTTGTACTTGTCAACTTTTCCATTCTCCTTTAATTTCGTCTTGTACACCCACTTGACACCTATAGATTTTTGTCCTTCTGGAAGATTAGTTAACTCCCAAGTATTATTTCGTTCAATAGCTGCAATTTCTTCATCCATTGCCTTCTGCCACTTCAAATCTTTGACAGTTTCTTCAAAAACTGTAGGATCATAATTGGAAAATAGTGCAAAATATGTAAGTGGGTATTCAGATTGATCAATTCCAGTTACCTCATAATCAATCATCCATGCAGGTCTTTTTCTAATACGTTGAGGCCGTCCTTCATCTTCTGCTACTGTTTGGGAAATTGATACATTATTTGGACCATTTGATGGAATTTGTTTTGCCAACTGCTGCCTGTTTTCTTCATCAACTCCATCAAAATCAGCAGGTATTTGTTGTTTAATAATATTGCTACTCCATGGCCAAAAATTTTCTCATCAAAAATTACATCCCGACTGATGACATTTTTCTTGGTGATAGGATTATAAAGCTTATAAGTTTTTGACTGATCACTAACACCAAGAAAAATGCATTTCTCCCCTTTGTTGTCTAGTTTTGTCCTCTTTCGTTCTGGAACATGAGCATAGGCAATGCATCCAAAAATTTTGAAGTAATCCACTATTGGTTTCCGTCCACTCCATACTTCCTCAGGCGTCATATTTTTAACAGCAAGTGTGGGACTTCTGTTCAATATATGAATGCTCCAGTTGACAACTTCATGCCAAAAAATTTTTGAAACACCACTTTTTGTCAAAATGCTCCTCACCATGTTCAATATTGTACGATTCTTCCTTTCTGAAACACCATTCTGTTGCGACGTATAAGCTGTTGTAAGCTGCTTCTGAATTCCATGCTCCTCACAAAAATTTATAAATTCTTGTGAATTATACTCTCCACCACGATTACTGCGAAAAAATTTTATTGATTTGCCTGCTTCCTTTTCGACAAGAGTCATGAAATTTTTGAATGTTGAAAATGCTTCTGATTTTTCCTGCAAAAAATAGACCCAAGTTTTTCGACTATAATCATCAGTAAACATCATAAAATAACGTTTTCCACCATTAGATGACGGATTTATGGGTCCGCATAGATAAGAGTGAATCAACTCCAAGACATTTTTTGCTCTCCACGATTTTCCTTTTGGAAAGCTATTCCGATGTTGTTTGCCAATAACACACTCTTCACAAACTTCTGAAGGTGTTGTGATTTGAGGTAAATCAGCTATCATATTTTTCTGTTGCAGAGTTTTCAATCCACCAAAATTCAAATATCCATAACGAAAATGTCATAACCATGCCACATCTTTCGATTTTGTCGAGAAACATGAATGAGTCAAGTTCTGCAAATAGAGTGGGAACATACGATTCGCCGTCATCTTAACTTGAGCAATTAAGCCCAACTTGGCATCTCGAATCTGACATACACCATTTTTGATTGAAATCTCGTACCCTTTTTCGAGCAACTGACCCACGCTAAGCAAATTTGTCTTTAAGTTTGGAACAAAGAGAACATCAGTAATAGTGTGGGTAGAAGAATTTTCTTTAGCTTGGATAATTACCCTTCCTTTTCCCATAACAGAAATTGTAAAGTTGTCACCAAACTTGACAGTGCTACGAAATGACTCGTCCAATTCAGATAATGCCTTCTTATCTCCACACATATGATTGCTGCAACCAGTGTCTAAATACCACATGTTTTGTTGAGTTTCTTCACTCATGTGACACACCATCAAAAGAGACACTTCTTTTTCTTTTTCTGTAAAATTAGTCCTTTCTCCATTTTGTCTATTCAAATTAGTTCGACATTCGGACTGATAATGGCCGTACCTATGACATTTGTAGCATTCAACATTGGACTTGTCTGCTGACTTTGGCCTTTGATTTGTTGATGGATAGCCTCCTCATCCTCTTCTTCTTCCTTGAAATTGATTTTCTTGGTGTTGGTATTGTTGTTGTTGGTTGCGACGATCATTATTTTCTCTACCTCTGCCTCTGCCTCTGTCTCTTCTTCATGTTGAGTGACTTTCTGCTGAAGCCACCCGTGCTTGCTCCTCTTTCTCTTGCTGGTTAATTTTTTGCTCATGATCCAACAAAGAACTCTGCAACTCATCAATTGAAATTGCATCAATATCTTTCGATTCCTCTATACAGCATAAAACAAAATTAAATTTTGTTGTCATTGATCGAAGAATCTTCTCGACAATTGTGGCATCCTTCAAATTTTCTTCATGGATTCTCATCTTGTTAGCGATTGCCATCGTTCTTGCGAAATAATCAGTGACTGATTCGCTTGACTTCATGCGTAAAGTCTCAAATTCGGTCCGAAGAGCTTGAAGCTGCACCCGCTTCGCCTTTGCATTTCCTTGATACTTTTTATTCATGGAGTCCCAAATTTGTTTGGAGGTATCTTTGCTAAGAATTGTCTCCAAAATGGCTCGATCAATAGCTTGAAAAAGATAATTTTTAACTTTAAGATCTTTCAGTTTCAATGCTTCCAACTCCATTTTTTGCACCTCTGACAATATTTCTCCGGCTGTTGGCTCTGCTACTCCAGATTTGACAACCTGCCAATACTCCTTGGATCTCAAGAAGTTCTCCATTATCATACTCCAATGATCATAGTGACCAACAAAGCGAGGAATTGCTGGCTGCACAAAATTGTCGGTGGCCATCGTAATTAATAATTCTCACAACTCACTTTTGTTTTCGCTCACTAGCCTAGCTCTGGTACCACTGATACATATATTGAGGCAAATAATAAGAGAAGCAAAGGACAAAATGTTTATTTCTTTGTAAAACTGACATTTCTCATAACATGAAATTAATCTATTTATAGAGTTGAAACCAACTCCACTAGCTATTGCACTAATTCCACTAGTTGCTCCACTAATTATTCCACTAACTCCACTAATTCCACCAACTCCCCGGCTTTTGTCGTCCGGATCCTATGACTGATTCCATTTTGACCCTTTCAGGGGTGGCCGGAAGAAGCCATTGATCTAGTGACCCACGGTACCCGCTTCAATTTACTCTGAAATTTAAGGTACTAAAAGATTCACAATTTTTCATCGGATCCAAAGAAGGTCAGGTACACCTTGTATGTAGGGCTGGAAAAGCCAGAGGTTTAAATTTTTTATTTTTTACATACATATTCAAAGTATTATCTTTAGAGCTAAGTAAGTAACTTTATTGAATAAATTGCAACTGAAATATGAGAGTCTATAATTTGTTTACAATATTCATTTGTATTTGTAAATGTTATGATCTTATTTTCTTAGAAAAAAAGTTTAATTAACGT